AAAAAATTACAGTGTATACTGCAGGAGGGAAACTAGTCCCCTCTCAGGACTAGTCTCTAATTCTATTAATCTTTAGGGTTTTTACCAAAAGTTTCATTTTGTTCTTTACGTACAGCTTCATCTATTTCCTCTCGTAGTTTTAATTTTTCTTCTAAAACATCCCCTTCATCACCAGAGTTTATAGAAGATAATACAGAATATGAAGAACAGGAATCATAATTTTCTTCAGATTCTTGTTTTAAGGCGGGACTTTCTTCAGATTCTTGTTTTAAGGCGGGTCTTTCTTCAGATTCTTGTTTTAAGGCGGGTCTTTCTTCAGATTCTTGAGCTAAACTCATAGCTAATCTTCTATCTTCTTCTGCATAATCTTGAGCTAACCTCATAGCGAATTCTCTATCTTTTTCTTCTTGTTCTTCTCGCATTGCTTTTATTGGATCTCAAGGTTCCTCTATTCGATTACGTTTTTTTTCTTGCTCATAAACTTCAGCTTCTGTAGCTTTACGTTTACCTTTATCTACTTTAGAAGGTCCATTATCCTCAGTAATATTTTCATCTTCTTTATCCTCCCCTTGGCCTGGCGCCCTGCTTCAGGCAGGGGCAGATGCAGTAATATTTTCATCTTCTTTATCCGTAGTAGTACTTTCATCATCGGATGAAATAACTATAGGAGAGGAAGGATTATTACCTGAATCTCCCATTGTCTCTTTATAAGAGGAAAACAACAAATAAAACAGAGTAAAAATACCATTTATCAAGTCCTCAAGCAATGCTCTACCATCAATATACCCATATTCTCTACCATCCAAAAAAGACAGAAAATCTCGTAAACCATATCCTAAATAAATACATATTAAATAAATAAATATCACAAGAACTAATATAATAGCTATTATATAAAATACTGTTCTATATTGTCTAAGGGATTTGGCTAAAAAAAATATTATGCTAAATAAACCTAAAGCCCCAATAATAAATAAAATACACACGAAGTCCATATATTGTTTTTTAAATAAATAGATAATATGTTATAATATTAGTGTTCTTACCGCCCCGACCTCCCCGGTAAATAGTAGATAACAACCCTATAAATATACTTTATTTTCCTTTCATGTATGAAATAATTACTTAATATCTATACCAATATTGCAATCTGTATACATCATTGTGTGTTATCTC